CGACATTTCTTCGCCGATCTTGGATTTTCAGCCAGTGTTACAAGGCGCCATCCTTGGTCTATGCGTTAGTGTCGTTGTACATTTTTTTATAAAATTCCTTCTCGTTATACAGGGTGTGAATGTAAGGCGGCGAAAATTTTCCATTTTTTAGCGAAGGGGTAAAGATGGGGGATCCAATAAAGTTCTTTCTGATGGTGAGTGGATCACTAGGTCAACATCTTGGGACGTCTTTGCCATTTTTTCGATACATTGCGTTGCTATGGAAATGTGGCCATTTTATGGAATTCCCTTCTTCTCTTGAAATTAGCGATTCTTTAATTGAACAATAACAGATTTCGTCTAAATTGCATCAAGGAATGACTTGTATAGAAAATGGTCAACACCAGCGGCGTGCAAAAGGAGGTTTATGAAATTAAAATAAAAAAATCGATTTTATCTGAACTTTTTAGTTTCGTTAAGCGTTAAATTTTAACGCCCAAATGCACCATAAGGACTAAATCCAGATTAGTTGCTAAAACCAGATTAGGATTTCTCTTTTATATGCAAATTTTCGAACTAAGCGAGATTAAACTGCAAAGTCCATACGGTGCATATGGGTGTGAAAGTTGTTATAAATAACTGTGATGAGTTTGACTTTTATATTCAGAGGCGTTCAGTAAAAAAAAAAAACTTTTTTTTTTTTTTTCAATTTGTTTCGACTTGATTTTGCATTTTTACATAAAAGGCTTATACAATTATTAATTATTCTTATTCGGTAAGGCGTAGGTCCTCCTCTAGCCTGAATAACTGCCTGACACCGCCTTGGCATGCTCGAAATTAAGCGGTTAATTAGCTCCATAGGAACTGACTCCCAGAGCTCCAGAATCACCTCTCCGAGATCCTCTAGAGTTTCTAGCTGAAAGCTTTAACTTCATCCAGCTCCAGACGTGCTCAATAGGATTCATGTCTGAGGATCTAGGAGGCAATTCGGTACGATTGAGATTTTGCCCTTGCAGATACCGGTTCACTAATAATGCTCGATGAGGCCGAGCATTATCGTCTACAAGAACAAAGTCCCCGCCATAATTTCGAGGATGCGGGAGAACTTGCGGAATCAGACATTTATTTGGGTAGACTTGGCCATCAACACTGTCCCGAAATACCACGAGTTAGCACGGCCGTCGGAATTGTAGAGGTTGAAACGGCATTCATCAACGAAAAGACAGTCTCTCTACCTAAAATCCCAAATCAGGTGTTCCTGGGCCCATCTTCTTCTGTTCGCCCGGTGAATGTTTGTAGAGTTGTAAAGAGTGGGCACTTTGCCCGACAGCGAGCATTTAATCCCTGGTCATGTAGGCGCCTTCTAATGGTGTCTGCTCAAACATTCAACTGCAAATGCGCTCGGACTCTCTTGGCAGTCCAAACTCTATTCCCAATTGCACTATGTACTACTTGTCAATCCTGACAAGGATTTGTTCTTTTTTGAGATCCTCCACCGTGGCGGTAAGCAGCAGTACCGTTGACAGGTCTGGTCACACGTTAACATTAAATAAAATGGAAAATACTTTTTTTTTTCACCAAATGCCTCTGAATATCAAAATCAAACTCATCATAGTTATTTATAACACCTTTTAAACTGCAACGCTTAACAAAACCGTTAAAATTTTCAAATAAATCGATTTTTTTTTTATTTCAATTTTATAAACCCCCTTTTGCAAGCCGCTGGTGTGCTATACAAGTCATTTCTTTATGCAATTTAGACGGAATCTGTTATTGTTCATTTAAAGAATCGCTAATTTCAAAACGAAATACCATAAAATCACCATATTTCCATACCAACGCAATGTATCGAAAAAATGGCAAAGACGTCCCGAGGTGCTGACCTATAGTGATCCACCCACCATCAGAAAGAACTTTATTGGACCCCCATGTTCTTCGCCAAAAAATGGAAATGTTTCGCCGCCTTAAATTCACACCCAGTATAACGAGAAGGAATTTAAAAAAATATATCCGACGACACTGACGCATAGACCAAGGATGGCGCTTTGTAACACTGGCTGAAAATCCAAGATCGGCAAAGAAATGTCGAAGTTATAGCAAGTCAAAATTAGGCAATTTTTTGGGTGTCCCACTTCATCTGCCGCTTAGTTTGGAATGGAACAACAAATTTGTCCAAGTTCTTCTTTGATCTAAAAACTACTTGGTTGAAAATAGCACTAAGGAACTACTAGTCTCACCAGATTCGACTAAAATTGTATCTTTTATCTTAATCAAAATCTTTTATGGAATTTTCATTGCATCAGTGTACAAAATAATTATTCAATTAGCTTTGTACCAGAAACTGTAGTACATTTGAAATTACCATTAAAAAATAAACTTGTTACACTATTATTAGTCTTGACAATTTTTTTATATACCTACCAGATTGCAACTAAATCTTGGGAAGATACAATTATTTTTTTATTCAAATATTTTTTGAAATGAGAAATCAGTACAGGGTATTTGATTATATTTAAGCCCATAGCTACAGCCTTTACTATTTAAGATAGGAAAAAATTTTAAATACAAAACTTGACAGTTTTTTTCTATACAGGGTGTTCCTGAATATCATGTACAAACGGAAGGGGGTGATTCTTTGGTTTATTTTATAGCTAAAATTTCTGATAAACATAGGTCCGCAAACGTTTCGTTACCGATCGACAGGGTTTTGAAATTTTAATATTTTTTTAGTTTTTTTTTATAGTTCCTGCAATTTTTGAGGGATTTAGCTCAAATTTGGAATATAGGTTACGCAATAGGAGCTAAATGATTGCACGTGACAAACGTTTGCCAGAATTTACAGGGTAATATTTTTTTTAGATGTCACGTCTCCTTTTCTGCCCCTGAACTTTTTCGCGGTACGCCGCTGGTCGATTCTAAGAAATAAAATAAAATTTCTATCTTATTTAGAAACTTTTTGGTCTCCTGTAGTTTTGTCGTATCACCGACCCTTAATGGGAAACAATTGAAAAACAAATCTCTGTAATTAGCTAGATGAAACTACAGTGACTCAATAAACCTTCTCTACCTATAGTGACAACAATAAAGGTACCGCTGCCCATATTCTTGCTCATTTTCAATATGAATACATTAAAATTTCAACACCCTGTAGATCAGTAACGAAGCATTTGAGGACCCATTTATCAGAAATTTTAGTCATAAAATAAACCAAAGAATCGCCCCCTTCCGTTTGTACATGGTATTTAGGAACACCCTGTATTTTCCTTTAGCGTTATCAGAAGAAACAAAATCACATCAGAAAATGCAAAAACGCAGATATTTTCAATTTTTTTATGGAACGCCCTGTATAGTATGCGATATAATGAAAGATCTTTCCTTCCTGATTTTAAACATAATATATCTATTGATCACATTTGTAAAATTTCTTTGCAATTTATTAATAATTTAGGCTAAGATATGTCAGAAAGCGCTCACGCAAATGTGATCAATAGGTATTGTATTTGGAATCAGGGAAAAAGATCTTTCATTTTATCGTATAATATACAGGGTGTTCCATTAAAAAAAGTCAAAGTTGTCGACGTTTCTCCATTTTTCGATGAGATTTTGTTTTTTCTAATAACGTTCAAAGAAAATATAGAAAAAAACTGTTTTGTATTCAAGAATTTATTCTATCTTAAATAGTAAAGGCTGTAGGTATGGGCTTAAATATAATCAAATACCCTGTACACGTAGACAATTGATATGAAGATATAAATATTCTAAAATTAAATGCGATATCACGAGCAAGTATTTGGTATACATACTTATATAACAGTGTAATCCAAATTATTATTCATCTTAGTTAATAAATTTAATTCCATTAAAACTCCATACTTTACGTTTGAGCCATACTCAAGAAATTACAGATCTACAGGAATTTCATTTTCTTTTTTCTTTTTTTTTCTTTTTTTTCTTTTTTTTTTCGTCCTATCTCCGCGACGAAGGCCAAACACCGACGCTAGGGAATTTGTCACACCTCATCTGGAAATTTTGCCAAACCCATCTTTCTCGACGGTAGGGGTCTTTTTCGTGCATCACATCACTAATACACGGTACCAACAGTTCTGCATCGCATTCCGAAAGATGGCGTTCTTGCCAATAGAGTAAAAATCAAACGAGAAGAAGTCATTGACGTCAGCGCTGACAAAGAAGGCAGATTTCCTTTTCTCTGGGTCCCGCCCATTTAAAGTGAGACAAACGATAACGTGTGTGGCTTCTTCTCGTTTGATTTTTACTCTACCTAATTACAAATCCCAGGGATGGAGCCCGGGCCCATGGCAAGAGGTAGAAACGCTAACCTCTAGATCACAACGCCGATCAGGAAATCTTATATTGATGGCAAAGTTAGACAATATAATTAAAGGGACAAGCACAAATGCCATTATTTCACTATAAAAATAAAACTTTCAATTTTACTCATTGACTTGATTTTTAGCTTTAAAGAAGAGGAAAAAAGTATTAATTAAGCGCCTTAATTTGGATTACTGTTCTACAATATCTTTACGAGACCTTGAAGTTAATTACATATTATGCTCCAAATCTCACAAAAAATATTATAATAGTATCTGAAGTCTGCATAATTTCATCTAAAATTAGTATGGCTTCATTTACTATCCTATTGCAGTTACAGAAACGTACCCAGTTATTAAAAATGCATTCAAAATTATAAAATAGCTATGATGGTAGAAAAGACAATTTAATTTGTTATATTAACATACCAAACTCCTGTTTTGAAAAATTCTATGAAATATTAAAATTATTCTAGACTAGAAACAATATCACTAAACAAAAAAATTTTGCCGCACTATGGCCACATTATTTAAAGATGAAAAGAAAAACGTTCGACTTAGGGGTACGTTACTGTGCAGTCATTCTAAAACAAGACAAGTGGAAGTTTGAAATAATAGGCAAAGAAAATATACAAAAGAATGTCGAAAAGGTTGTTGTTCACTGTGAAGGACTAACGAGTGACTCTTAATTACTTATGGAAGGGCTACGTCAACTTTCACATAGTTGACTGGGAAGTAGCCGGTTCGGCCGCCAACGCTGCCTTCGAACCAATTTTCGTCAATTTTGTTTAGAAGAGTAATTATGTCGTTTTCCTGAAAAAAAAAATGAAATAATATTTTTTCACCAAAACATCTACCTAATTGAGCTATGAATTAAATTGTAGAATTTGTATGAAGCTGTCAGGAATATGTTCTGTTTACCTTAAAACTTAATTCGCCTGGATTTTCTGCATCGAAATCATAGAGAGCCACGCAACATGGTTGTCGAGTCATAGGGGTCCTGGCAGGTGATTTCATTGGGGACGGCAATGGAGATGCTAAAAAAATCAACCAATTAGTTTAGGTGTAAACGAGTTTTTGATCTGATAAAATAATCATGCAAATAGCATAACGGACATAAAAAACTAAAACCACCTATAAATTAATATGTATTCTTCAAAAAAGTGATATTGAAAATTCTCAATATTTAAATACTGACAGAAATGCGTTCTGAAAAAAAACGAACGGCAATTTTAACAGAAAACCCTCGAAACATTAAAATTAGTAAGTATACAAAAAAAGCTAAATAAGTGTAAATATTCAGTACATTTTTGAAGTAAAAATTAACTCCAGATCGTAAAAATACAACTTACAGAGGCAGATGCTCAACATTTCAAAAAGGTTTGAATCGTTAAGTGCGACAAAAATATTAGTTACGGGTAGAGTGTCATTGAATTTATAATAGGGCATCTATTTTTATCTAATAGGGTATCTATTTATTTTCAAAAACCCCAGCACTTTTAGGCAAAATAAATACTTAAATATACAGTGTGTCCACTTAAGTTCGCAGCATATGGGAAACTTTTTTATTATCAATTTTACGAAAAAAAAAGTTATTCTTCATAAAAGTTTCTGCTTCTTGAAAAAATAATTATAATAAGAATAACTTTTTTTCGTAAAATTGATAATAAAAAAGTTTCTCATATGCTGCGAACTTAAGTGGACACATTGGATATCCACATACATAAATTTTTTGAACATGTATGTATAGGAGACAATATCATGATGCTAAATCGTGCCTATAAACGTTTACTAAAATAAGCAAAGGATACTTATTTCTTTAATGGGCTAAAACGAGCAAAAAAGCGAGTACAAGCAAAAGTTACCATTGGCAGAGTTCTGTCCCGGGTGCAGTTCCAGTTGATGTGGCTTATGTTGTGGAGAAGACACTTGAGAAGAGCCTAACAACACATCTTTGTTAGAACAACATCTTAAGTAGGGAATTAAAGAAGAAAAACAAGCTGGTAGCGACGCCATTGTTCTGGTAATTGTCTTTTATTATGTAGGTACTACCCTGCTTAACGGTAAACACTATTAGTTCCCATATTATTTCGGTGGAGCCATTTTTTTTTTTATATTTTAGGACATCATAAAGATTCTTCAGGTGGGGTTTCACATTTGCGTTAAATGAGAAAAGATATTGACAAACACTACCGAGTAATGTTAGTAACGCTATTTTTACTATTTTTGGTTTTTTAGTTGTTTGTTGTTTATTGTTTAGGGAGGGGAAAAGGAGTAACTTAGAAAAAAAAATTTGCATGTAGGTAGTTAATGGTCGTGTGAGGTGTTGGTTTTCATGTTTTTTTTTTTAACAAAATTTTAATAAAAACAAATGACAATAGAACTGAGTTTTATTGGAAGAAATCGACATTTATTCGAAAAAATACGGACACAATCTATTTAACATTGATTACTATACACTGTAGCAACAAAATTCACTGTAAGTCTGTATACAGACATTAGGAAAATTATTCAAGACATATTAGAATTCTAGCAAATCATGTTCATTTTTGTCCTCATCAATAATTGTCAGATCATCATATGCCTCAAAGCTGTCGTGAAGCGCTTAGACCACTAGAAAATATCGAAAGTGAGACGATTTTTGCCGAGTCGAAGTTGGTGAATAGATTGTTACCTTTCTTTTGAAAAACATTTGCTTTTTTTCCCAAAACAGTGGGTAAATTCGGCCTTCGTGACTCAACGAGAGAGGAGAAAGAATATTAAATTACCTGCAAAACGAAAAGTTGTATTGTATAATTACATTTTTCCAAATCCAATAAAAAGAAGATGGACTTGGAGAAGTACAGACTCATCAGTTAAAAATAATATTGACTACATTATCACAAACTATATTCTAGAAGACGTCCCGGTCGTGAATAAGTTTCATACTGGCGGTGATCATAGGTTACTAAAAGCCACAATAAAGTTCAATAACAACCTGGAAAGAAGTAAACTGATAAAACAACAATTTTTCCCACCAGCGAAATGTTTTAACGGAATATCCAAAAATATCAATCGGACCACGACCAAAATATCTTTAATCATGAAAACTTAAAGGGAACTAAGGATTAACAACTTGGAGAAGGAAACAACTTCTAGCATCAAATCAGTCACAAGATGGAAATGTTATAAAAGGAAAAATACGTAGAACTAATAAACCGCTGACGGAGACCCCGAGACCTAATGAGTGAACTTAGATATTACATGATTAAGGAAATGATAAGAGATGAAATTTGAAAAGAAATAAAGGAACTACAATACAGAAAGAATGTGACAACGGTGATGGAAAATAACAAAAATATGAATATCCCGAAACCGATCAACACTAATGGGCATGCAAAAATGTATTCAGGACCCAGATGGAAATCAACCTGAAGACGACCGACGATCGACTAGTACTGTGGAAAAATTCTACAGAGAACTCTGTTCAAAGCAAAATCCTACCCCTGTTGACATAGGTAGTTAATAAATACAACATAAATGTTATATCTCAAAAATTGCCAGACATCACCACAGAAGAGATAGAATTTGTAGTTGTCTTCTCTCAAATGAAAGACAGAAAACCCCGGGAGAGGTCGAAATCACAGTTGAAATGATAAAATTAGGAAGAACAACCACTACAAAATCTATAAAATGCTTATGAATGAATGTCTCCCTGAAGGCAAAGTCCCCGAAACATGAAAAAAATGCGCAAGTGATCCTACTATATTACCGCCCAATAAGTCTCTTGCCACTCCCCTAAAAACTGCCAATCAAGATAATCACCAATAGACTAATGCACAGATTCGAAGAGTATCAACCAAAAGAACAAGCTGGTTTCCGGTGAGATACAGCACAGTTGAACATATACAGTCAATACGATGTCTGAAAAATACATGGAACATCTCTGTACACTTAGCTTTCCTCAACTACAGCAAATGGAGAATGCAAGAATGGACTCAAGATAGTATCAATATGATGGAAAATACATACGACAAAGCAACACTTACGGTAAATCTCGCAGCCGACCGATCAACGGATAGGATAGCAGTGGACAGCAACTAGTACCATCTCACCCAAATTTTCCACTCTTCCGCTGGAAGATGTCTTGAAAAACATGGGTCAAGCTTAAGAATGATATTGTACTCCTTAGACATAAAAGACGTGCAAGAGATGTTCGCGAAACTAAAAGTGAGATCAACCCAAATAGGACTTTCTATGAACTCGGGAAAAACAACAATCATGTTGTCAGAGAATGTCAGGATTCGTCTGAATGGTGTGACCATAGAAAATGTCAAAAATTAAATTTATTCAGGGTATCACATCAAGATTGGCAAATTAAACCAAATAGCAATTCTGAGGGATCCTAAAATCCGAAAAGATTCTTTTCCGAAAAACAGGATCCTTTTATCCGAAAACTTGGGACAAAAATTTCCATTACAATAACCCAAAACAATTTATCGACAATCGGTGGATAATTACATTTTCAAAAGATTAATATGTGTGGAAGCAGTCGTGAATATTATGTATTTTGTTTATTTTAGATGTGAAAAAGTCTCGGAAAAAAGGATTAAAAAAGTAAGTACGGTGGTAGGTACCTACCTTATTGACACGTTGTGCTAGTTAATTATGCCTTTTTCTGTAATCACAATGATGCGTACACATAAAATATAAACCAAAAGTGCTCCAAAATATCAAACTTGGTTAAACCCGTGGCAAATATATTATATATGTTTTGTTTTTCAAATAGCTCGACATGATCCAATGATTGGAGACAAGCCAATAGAATCACTTTTTTTGTCTATTTTGCGTGTTGAGTAAAAATATATCCGACGCATCAGTAGTTGTTTTCATATCACTTTATGATGCACAACATGTAAATAGACTCATCTGTTTGGATTGGAGCAACATAAAATCGCGTATATGAAATTCAAGAAAGTTCCAAAAATAGATATTAGCCTATTTTAAGAAATCATTCCATTAGTTAAAATATTAAATTATTTTGGAAAATAATTAAAACAGTTCTGGCTAGCTTCCGTTGCTTGTCAGATAATTCAAATAAGTTGGTGTTTTGAAGTGAAGTAGAATCAGAAGATGACATATGTGCAATGTCTATGTATATATAGTTCCAGCACCGGATTATTCATTACTGGACCCAAGGCTAACGCCAAGACGAAAAATGCTTATATGTTATCAGAAAAATAACGGAGGTTCTATTAAATGCAGAATTACACGTGTCGATTTTTGGCGCACCAATACGTCACTGTCAACTTTTAATTATTAGCAAAATGGATTGGGTTGACACTGTTGACAGGAGACTTGCATCTGTGGATTTTTGTGCCCAAGATGTTGGCGCACTGAGCTTAAGTTGGCGTTAATACCTCTGATGTTAGAGAACTCAATTATTGAACTAGATGTAGAGTCTACATCTACATCTACATTGTAGACTCCCATGGTACACCCTCCTCCCGGAGATCCGTAAAGACAAACTCGTTATTTCACAGCTCACTACATAGAACCTATTTGCGTCTTTTACTACGCTATAAAAAAATAAAGGATATTTATAATTAGGCATTCCAACCTCTTGTCAAAAAAATCCAAAATTGCCGGTCATTAGCACACAAATATAGGTAAACACGACGTTTAAAGCTTACTTTTCATGCATCCGTTTTTCCCTCAGTCCGTTGATCCGGGAGTATTCCTATTGGTCGAATATTTTGGCGCCAAAATATTGGACCAATAGAAATACTTCCGGATCAACGGATTGACGGAAAAACGGATGCATGAAAAGTAAGCTTAATGTGTTCAATGTGTATTTGAGAACAATTTTTTCTGTATTTTCGTTATTTGAAGTTATAGGATTTTGTAATAATTTCAATTTCAAACATGCATTTTAAATGAATTATTTGGCCAAGGAAGACAAAAATGTATTAGTGCTATGACATTTTGTTTTCTCCATATACCGGTTTGCAGCTTCTTTGCAAGTTGCTTCTAGTTCAACTAAATATCTACTTTTAAT